CCACCCTCCCCACCCAAAAAAAAAGAAGGAGTAAGAGGGGTGGAGAAAATGTTATGCCAAACTAATTACTTGCTAAAAGCGCAAACAAAAGCCACAAAAATAAAAACAATGACAAAACAAAAGGGAGGCGGGCCATGGGGTTTTATCTCCGATCGCACACACTTGACGACCTCTAACCCCCCCAAAAAACACCCCCTCCCTCCCACTCCGCTTCCCGGGATTTTTGTACAACATGGCTAAAACAAAGGACTGGCTAAAACAATGGGGGCCACAACGGAAACAGGCTGGCAAAACACTCGAGAGCCAATCAATGCAAAATGTGTCCCAAAGTCAACTTGCGCAACATATCGGGGGCGTGGTCACGCCCACCGCACCCAGGGGGTTTGCATGTGTTAGCCTTATGCAAGGATATTCACTAATTAGTCCTCTGGCGAAGGGGTGCGGAGGGCAGGGCAGGGGAGGGCAGAAAATGGTCGAGAAAATGCGGAAAATTTTTGAGCTGCAGCAAAATGCCTTCAAGCCTTCAACTATAGTTTTCCTAGTTTTCCGTTTTAAATAGGGAAATGTTCAAAGTCTACAGTGAGGGCAATTTACGCATTACGCAAGCTGCATGGCCAAAAGCCGATTAACGCCTAATTTAGTTGCGACACACATAAATACTTAATGCTAACGCCATTTGCCCGAAAGCCGAGTTTAGTTAGCTCAAGAATATATAAATTAGAACGCACTAATCACCAGATTTAATTATAAGTAAGTATATTTAAAATGCATAATAATCCATTAAAGTTTTTTTTGCCGTTTTTCTTTATGGGTAAGCTGCTTTAACTACTTAAACATTATATTTCAATTGATATCCTTAAAGGTTGATATTTAAATACTTATCGAGAAACTTATATTTTAATTTAAATTTAATTTTAATTGATATTCCAAACGGTTGTTATTTAGATAATTATCTAACAATTAATATTTTTAGCTTATTAAAAATTATTTTAATTTAAATTTAATTTTGATTAATATCCCCAAAGGTTGATATTAAAATAATAACCAAGACAATATTCTTTTTTAGCTTATAAATAAATCAATTTAATTTAAAATCAGCTGTTGGAAAGCTTTGGCACTTAAATGTTTCGACTTACATCCGTTTTCAACTCAAGATCTTAAAAGGTATTCCTTGTGAGAAGGATTCCTTTCCTCTTTTTCCCCCACAATTAAGCTGCGTTCGATCCGCACTCTAGCTCGGGATTGTCGAGTACTTTGTGGCCACTGGCCAGGGCGGCCTGAAATCGGTAAAATCGGTTAACGAATTGCCGCAGCTGCAGCATCTGGTGGGGCAGCAGCTGCCTGCAGCTTAGCACCTGATTAGGTGAGCTTCTGGAGTAACTCATGTTGGTTAGAGGGCGGGAGGCGCATTAAAAGCGTAACTTGGATGGGATTCAGGGAATTTCGCAGTTCGATGCCCGGAGCGCTGTTTCTCTAGCTGTTTTCTCTGGCTCAGCTGGGCTCAGCTGGAGGAGCAAGGAGCAGGGAGCAAGGACCAAGGACACACTGCCATTGTCCCGGCTCCTTATCGAAATCCAGTGCTGTCACTTGTCGGGCACTTCACGGCAGCCAGTGATCTCCCTCGAGTGTGTTGAACATACGCTTCTTATGTGTGCGAGTCCACCTACTTTTGCTCCTTTCTCCGTTCTCCTTTCTCCTTTCACCGTCTGTGTTTGCTTATCCTCTGCCTGACCCCTGACCCCTGGCTGCCGGGGCTTATACAACCACTCAGTGACACAAATAAAAGTAAACATGATAAAACCATTGAAACTTTTTCCATTTTCACTTTTGAGTGTGTTTGTATTTTCCCCTCCCCTTCGCTTCTCGTTGCCTTTGTCCCTTTTTTCCACATGTATGAGTGTATAAGTGTATATATGGCGCTGCTGCATCTGTGTGCGAGTTAATCTCAAGTGCAGCCGAGAGCTAAATATTTACCATTGGCGTTGACTCTGCGCCTCTGCAGCCACAAACTCACAAACACATGGCCAAAGTCCCCAGTGACCAGCCAGGCTGGTAACCACCCACTATCAGGCGCCCACCCACTTGGAAAACCCACTTTCTCCGCCCCACTCGATCCCCTTTCATCGCCGCGTTGACTTCTCGCTTATCATCGATGGCGCTGAGGTCTGTCCATCCAAACATGCATTCAAATGACCTGCACTTGCCCCTCCCCCTGCCACACCCACTTTTCCGCCCCTTGTTTACGCTTAACTAACAAGCCAAGCTAAAAGTTAGCTAGCTGCAAGCCGGGACTTCCCCCTTCTTTCTCGTATTTTTTTTTTTAGATTTCTTCCTTTTTCCCCGTCTTTTTTTCACTTTTTTTTTGCTCCTTTGCCATTCAAAAGAGTCCAGTTTGTTGTGCATAAATTGTTTATGTTGGCAACCCTGGGCCCTGGACTCGAATTGTTTTTGGATTTTCGATGCTGGTCTGGTCTATCGCATAGTAAGTTGGCCAACAAAGGGAAAACGGTAAATACATACTTGTGTCAGTCGTTGAACTTGTGTGTGTGTTTTGACCTCAGGCGGCTACAAGTCAATCCGCAGGTTGTAGGTCTTTAAATGCGCTGGGCACACTATCCCATTTCTTGTAAATAATAAAAATATTGAATACTTAAAAATTACTTTAAAAGTATTTAAGCATAATACTATGTATTGTTTCATAAATACTTTAAACCTAAAGACTTTATATATTTATAAGGTTGCGAAAAAGAAATATGGAAGACTTATCCAACACTATAAGCTTGCTTTTTTAAGCCCTAACCAACACTAATATACCCAAGTGTTTTTGTCCCAGTGTTGGCAATCAAATGTAAATACTTCTGAGAAGATTTCCAGCTAAGAATGAATTCAACCGAGTAGACAAGTAAATATTCAGCATTTTGACGGTTCTCACTGCGACATCACCTGCTTGGGGCGAAATCCAACACCCAGTCCGCCCATCAAGCCACGAACTCGTGAATATTTAAAGGGCAGGCTTCAATATTTCAGCATCGCTCAACCTTGACAGCATTATGAAGTGAGTGCGACTGCAAGTGGGCGTTGAGTGGGTGGTGGTGGGTGGCAGTTGGGTGGCAGTTGGGTGGCAGGTGGCAATATGAAACGCTTGGGTGGAGCAGAGCATTGCTGCGGATGCTGGAATCAACCGAGGCGTGTAACCGAGGCAATGGAGGCAATACTCCTGCCACCTCCTCGCATTTTCCACCTTGGGGATGTGCAACTGTCAAATCTTTCATGAAGATATAACTCACTTGCCGGTCCAATGAGGCGGCTCATTATGAACCGGATCCGGATGTGGATACAGCTCCGGCTACGACTGACAATGGGGCGCATTGGGCCCGAAAATAAGGCTAAGCCCATTCATCCCATTGTTGGCCGAAAACTGCGCGTAACGATGTATTAATTAAGCGACGACCGATGGCTCAATGGGTTCGGTAATGCCATGACATGAAGGTGGAAAATTTTTGTGTTTAACATAAGTTCGATGAGTTGGCAGAATTCCACACAGCCAGAAAAGTAGATGTTGAGGGACCAAAACCAGTGAAAAACATTAACTAATCGATGCTTAAAGATTTTTGTTTAAGAAAAAGCATTTATTTGTGTGAAGAAAAAAAATGTTGTATTTTCAAATTAGTTACTTTTTATTATCTGATTATTTGTAAAAAGGTGACCCCAAACTAAATTTCAAACCTCCTTAGGTTGATTGTTTTGGTTTTTATTATTGGGTTATTATATGTAATTTTATTGATGGTTACTATTTTGACTTATTTTTATGTTAGCTATGTCAAAGTTTTCAATGGGCTACAAAGAAGTGACTCTGACGTAAACTTTTACAGCTCATAACTTTAACATTTTCATCAGGATCACCAAGTGGTATACATCTCACTGTTTGTGGCTTAGCTATCTAGTTTGCTGAGCTACTTTTATTTTACCTTAAACAAAGTTTCCGCTGAGTCTAAGAAAGGTGACCCCAAACTGGACTCATAAATTCAACTGCAGAATGGCCAGCGAGGGTATATACATTTTGCCTCGGTTTCATTTCGGTTGTGGAGAGCAGGAGTCAATGCTCTAGCCTGGGGTCAGCTATCAATCAGGGTTTAATCGGGAATAGGGAGAGGACGGTGGATGGGTTAAAGTCGCCGAGGCGAAAAGAGGGGGAAAAACTCGTTGCTCGACAATCATTTACCGAGCAGCTTTTGGCTTTCACTTTTCACACATGCCGCAATTAATTTCCGTTTGATTGTTTGTCTCTGTCCGGACTCCGCCTTCAAAGCCCCCGTACACGGAATCCTATTTGCTTCCCACACAGCGAATGCGATTTAATTGCTTTGGGGCCCCAGTTGCCGCGACTTAAGCTCAGCTCGGGCGCTTTTCCCCAGCTTTTCCTCTGCGCCCTCCCCGCATTTTCTCGCTCCACCCCCTAGCTGCATTTTCCAGTCGTAAATAAAGTGCTAAGCGCGGACAAAGGTGAGGCATTGCAGGTGGCAATCAGATGGCAGAGAAGACTGCCATGTCAACAACTTTGCCGTGCAAGTTTTATTTGTTCAGTTCATTTGGTGCTGGCAGAAGCAAAGCATAATATGGCACATTCATAAGCGCCAGGGTTGCCAAGCGACGCGTCGGAAAGTGTGAAAGGTGTTAGGGTTTTAGGGGGACAACGGAATAAAGCCCTGAAAAGTTCCCTGGGCATTATGCTTTATTTTTCACGTTTAAATTTGAAATTTAAGTTTTTTCTAGTTAAAATTATTTTCCTTTAATTGTAGAAAAATTAGTATTATTATTTAAAATCAAAAGTAAGAAAAAATAGGTTTTCGAAAAAGTTATGATTTAAAATACCCTGTAAAAGTAGTAAATCCATTTATTTTTCGTCTCTCAAACTTAATTCGATTTTATTTTTTTCAAAAACTAGGCAATGAGAAGAACGCCAGACACAAATGACAGGGTATATTAGACTTAGTAAAATCGTCTAGGTAGTCAACACACACAACCGACACATTCATACACACACACACCGTTTGAACAAAAAAAAAATATAGAGGAAAATCGAAAAAAAATAATAATCAAACGGCGAATAAAATCATACCTGGTACCTGGTATCTAGCTAATCGCAGAGTTGCACCTGAATCGCGTGCAACTTGGACGCCCAGACGCGTAGAACTGATCCGTTGTCAGCACACCACCGCACCAGAGACTCCTTTGGATCGCCCAGAATACAAAAGTACAAGAGTACCAAATTCGTAGGTTCAAAGTTCAAGGCGCCCGAAAGGACTGAGAGTGGACCCCCGGACCCAGCCGAGGGCCAGTCGGGCCCAAAGGTCGAGCGGCTAGCTGCAGTCGAGCCCCGGGTTCGAGCCACAGCGTCAACTGGTTCCAATCCGGTTTCTTTTCCACTTTTGATAGTTTTATATTCAGGTGAGTTAAAAATTTGAACAATATTATTTATTATCAGGAACCGAAATTATAAATTTTATTTATTTTATTTTTATTTTATAACTTTAACTTTTATTTATTTATTTTTATTCTCCATCATATTATTAAATATTTTATTTATTTATTCCCGATCCTTAATTGTTATTCATAAATTGCTTAAATGACATTTAAATATTTCCTAGTTTATATTATTTCAAGAAAGCATGTTTATAAATCCGTATATTTTTATAAATATTTTATTTATTATAATAATACTATATTAAATAAAATCTCATTTTAAAGGTTATTATTAAAGCAATGTATTTTTATACGCCTTTAATATTTGTATTAAATTAAATTAAATATGTCATCATTTTTTTTAATAATTTTTTTTTAATGAAATATTTTTAATAAAAATTTTTTAAACTGATCTCAGGATGGTCATCAATCTGAATCCGGCCACCTCGTCGAGCGCCAATGCCAGCGGCAGCAGCGTGGGCGGCGGCAGCGGTGGCGGCAGCGGCGGCAGCAGCGGCGGCAGCATTGGCAGCCAAAGCGGCAGCATCATCGGCGGAAACGGAAGCGGAGGCGGAAACGGAAGCGGAGGCGGAAACGGAAACGGCAGCGGCAACAGCACCGGAAACGGAAGTGGCGGCGGTGGCGCCACTAGCAACCTGATGGGCATCATCAGCCACGCGGTTTTCGAGGGGATCGTCTATTTGCATGTGGTATGTGCGGGCGAGGCGAGCGCCAAGTGGATCACCCTAGAGGAGGCGCTGGCCTACTGCCCCACCGGCGTGGTTGCCTACACGAAGCTGAAGGTCGCCGAGACCTATGGCGTGCCGATGGACATTCTATTCGAGTGATGGCGATGGGACCGGAGATCATGATAGACTGGAAGTCTCCTGGGGGATTCCCCTCTCGTTCGGAGGACTCTGAATCTGACTTTTTGCCATTGGGCAGTCGGCATTTGAACTTTGGCACTGTTCGCAGCACCAAATCAATGGAAATCAGTATTCGGTTGCTTGCGTAGAGACTTCTACGCCCCGTCTATGTACATTTTTTCGTGCTTGTTTCCTCGCTCTACAACCACAAACCAAATTTCTAGTTCTGGCGTTATGCAATTTTCCCGAAAAAAAAACAGCAATTACCACAGAAAGTATAGAATACTAGCCGGGGATAAAAGATCCGAAAGATGTTTTCACGTTCGGTTCAATGAAGAAGAAAACTGGTTAAACTTTTTTGACTGCAGGACGACATATGTATACCACATAACTTTGGCACGGCTCCAGGATAATTCGTAACTTTTGCTCATCAGAAATGTATGCTCGAAAATGCTCGAAATAATCCATAAAAATCTCAAATAAATGATTGTCAAAACTTAGATTTGGTGGTTTTATTAATTAATAGTTTTGGTTTTTATTTATAGCAAGTAGTATTATAATATTATTAATTATAATATTATTAATTAAATTTTAAGTCAATTTTTATCAAGATGGTTACGAAAATAAATTTAAAAATATACATTTTGTAAATAAATATTTAAGTAGATTTATATCAAGACTGTAACTAAAAAGAATTTTAAAAAAATACATTTTATAGATATTAATTAAACCTAACTAATTTTCTTATTTTTCTAATCGTTTACCATTTTTTGTTCTCTCCAAGGAAGTCTGGCCAATGGCCGTGTTACGAAAAATGAAATCTCCAAGGCTCTGGCCATCGCAGGATTCATTTACCTTGGCCGCTGACCGCCTCACGTGCCCCCGTGGCATTTGTCAGCCGAGAAAGGACGAGGAAAGGAGGAAGATGGATGGGCTGAGCGGAAGTTTAAGGAGCCTTTGCCACGCAGCCGCCACACGGCGTATGCGTAATGCGGCCAGCCCACAGAATTTGGGCATTTCAATTGCAAATTAGCCAAAAGCCAACGTCAACGAGCGGCCAGCCACGCCCACAGTCGCCCCGCAGCCGCCCCCTTTTGAAGTGCGCCTCGGGTTTTCCTTGCCTTTTTCTTTTTCCCTCAGCCTGTAGGTCTGTGTGTGTGTGTGCGGCAATTTGAATGATTTATGTTGATTGCGTATAATTGCATGTTGTGTCCTTGTCCGCCCCTTTGTGCCCAGGTGCGTTTGCCGGCCACGTGACAAATTCAAATCCCCGCCACTCCCTGTTCTCCCCGCTCGGTATTGTTTCGGCATTCCCATTTCCGCTTTTTCCGCCCTTTCCGCTTTTCCGCTTTTCCTAACCTCAGACATTTTGCGGCGCATTGTTGCTGGCGCTTTTATGACGCTCCATCTGTCAGCGGCTTGTTGCTTGGTTGCTTGTTGGGTTGGTGACACCAGAAAACAGGAGACAGGAAGCGGGGTGGAAAGCCAGGACCCACATGGACGACAGTCAGCCAGGCTGCTTATCTAATTACGCGCCCAAAAGCACGCAACACAAAAATGCCAACCAACTTGTCTTTTGCGGCACGACGTTTCATTTTTCTAATGCCAGCCAGCCAGTGGAAAAGCGGGTGGAAAATGCGGTGGGTCAGGATCTTTGCTTCTGAGCTTCTCTGACTTTTGCCAAATGGCAGGCGCTCGCGCATTTATTTCGCTTGTAAACGAGCGCAATTTGCAATTTGAGCGCGTCCGCTTCGCGTGTACTTTCCCCAGCTTTCTCTGCCCCTTTCTACACACACAAACACACACACACTAAAAGAGGGGTGTGGGCTGTCCGTCCTGTCAGCCATTTGCAATTGAATATTTATTTGCATTGCCCACGGCTTTCGTGTCGGGTGTGGCGCAACTAAAAAATTATTACGCATACGCAGCGTTGTCAGTCGACGGAAAGAGGGAAAAATAACGAATCAAATCATGTGAAAGGAGGAAAGGTGCAGCACTTTTTCCTAATCAGGCAAAGTGTGACCGGAATTTTTGGTGCTTACAAAGGGAATTCGTTTCGAAAGGTCAGCGAACTTTATTTTGTGAACATAGGTTAGTAACAAGTTGGACTTAATGCAGGATTTGAGGTAGTTTTTACATTGTAAGTTTGTTTTTATTTATTTTCTTATTTTCTTGTAGCATAATTTATTTTTCAACTGCTTTATTATTCGCCCTGGTCACACTAGATTGTCTAAAATGTCTGCAATTCACTCAATGTTTATTGTTTAATTTGTAAAATTTGTTAAGGCTATAGGCAGAATAAAAACAAACTTCCCAGCACAATTTTGGCCTCTAAAAAGTAATTGCTTCGCAAACATCCAGCGACCTGGTCACACCAATTACGTGCCATTCAGCCGGATGCTGGAAAGTGGTGCAGCCACACTGAACAACCAGCTAATAAAATGTACTTTATGCTCGAACGTGCGTTGACTGTGAAATCGGGATAGCAAAAAAAAAAAAAAAGAACGAAAGGGGGCCTGGCGATATCCCTTGTCTCGCTCGCCTCACGCGGCTGCCTAATTATAATTTTGCATTCTGCTGCCGCATGCAAAATTCATGAACGAGCAATGTCATTCCATTTCTGCCTCTGCCCACCGATGTTAACATAAAACTTGACAGCATCCGGGGCCAAACGAGGGGTCAGCTGGGGGTCAAAGGTTGATCAAAGCGAACACATCAACGTTAAGCGTTTTATGGCCAAAATGTGCGTTTCCCTGCCTGGGTTTCTGCTTCGTTTTTTTTTTGTTGTTTTTGCGCTGATTCGCGCAACTTCCAGTGCCACATCCACTTCCGTCTTCCGCTTTCCTTTCCGCTTTTCTGCAAATGTTGCAAATCTTCGCGAAAAACTTGTCGTAAAAATATTTCCATCAGCCAAAATAAAGCAGGAGCGATGTGGAGCGGCGGATGAAGATGAAGCTGCCAGGAGCGAAAACGAGGTGGAGGGCGGGATAGTATAGTATAGTATATAGTATGGTATGGAATGGGGCAGATAAGCACAGTATAGCTCGCCAGCGTTCGCAATGAAGCAATGAAACTGGCAATAAACAAATGGCACAAACGGCAACGGATGTGCAAAAAAGGAAGCAAAAAGTGAGAAGAGCTGGGAGAAACGGGCGAAATTAAATGGCAGCGAGAAAGGAAACGAATTGGCAGAGACCCTGCATAAAAATAAATGGTATATGCAGCTATTTAGGCTTAAGTATTGAAATATAACTATTTTATTGATATTTTAAAAATATATTATATTATATATTATATTATTAAAATACTGTATACCTAAATATAAATTGTAAAAGGTTATATTAAAATTATTATATATTAAAAAAAAATATATATATAAATTATTTTATTATCATATTATTTCGTAAGAAATTAAGATGATAAACTATAAGTTCTCATATTTATCTTCTTCATTAAGACCTATATAATTTTACCAGATGCGTGGGAAAAATTCCTGGCAAATTACCGAGCATTATACCCTTACAAGGCGAGGATCCAGCTGCGATGGCGCAAAATGCCACCGGAAGACGACGTCGCGGCGCCAAAAGCAGCGCATTTCCAGTGGCGGCGGTGGGGTGACGGGGGGTATTCTGAAGGGGGGTTCCGGGCGTGTAATGGGGCTTTTCGGGGCGCGGCGAATTTATGAAGCATAAGCTGCATAAACATTAAGATTAAGACTCGGCGGCGATGAAGACGAAGATGAAGCGACCCCAGGGGCGGGGTTACGGGGGCTACGGGGGCTAAGGCGGCATTAGCGGGGGGCGAAAGGGCGGCCAGCAAAGAGGTTGGCAAACAGGCGACGCTTGCAACATTTTAAGTGTCGATAATTTCGGTGCCTGGGTACTCGCTTCCAACTATCAACTGCCAACTTCGAGGCGTGGCCACGCTTAAGTCTCTCATGCATATGCATTAATGCAGACAAAGACGGCCATATTCGAGGCGAAAGAGATGGGGCTAGAGAGAAAGAGAGAGATAGGGAGAGCGCGACTGCATTTAAACATTTTGCATTGCAACGGCGGCATTTGCATTTCTCGGGGCCAGGGCAAATTAAATAAATGTAAATTTCAACCCACACTCTGAGTATCTGAATCGGAATGGGAATCGGCCAGAGAATGGTAACGTTTATATAGGACCTATATTATAGGTATATATAGAGATATAGCATTTTTATAGATGGTATATAATGATATATACTTAAATATTTAGGAAACCTAAAAAGCGAATGTTCTTCGATTAAAACTAATACCTTGACCGATGGCTCCGAGGAATTCACAGCGAATCAATTAAATACTGCTGTGTGTGCTCGGCAATATTGAAATACCGCCCCACATTTGCCATCTGTTCATCGAAAGACCCAGAGGGAAAAAATGTAAGGGTAAAACCCCCTGAAATCATGGGAAAAATGGGAATGCAATGTCGGGGGAGGAGGAGCTGAAGCCATGTGTAATGGCCTTGGGTGGTTTTTGGATAACGGGCAGTGGGTTGAGCAGCGTCAGTTGCTACGTGATTTGTTTGCCAAATTGTGGCAAATGTGCGAATGTATCTGCAACTCAATTAGTGCAGAATTGAGGTGAACACCATTCACCATCCACCATTCGCCATCAGCCACCCACTTCGCCTTTGGTTTATTGAGTTTGCATGACCCTAATTTAAAGATGATTTAAAATTCCCGCAGCGAAATTAACCAAACATCGGGGAAATAAGTGGGGTTAGCAGCGGGGTCAAAGGGGGAGGGGATAGGGATTTATTGCCGGCTGGCATTGGACGCTAATGCGGCGCATTTATCATGGACATGGCGACTGCGACTGAAACTGAGACTCCGAGGATTCCACGATACCACGATGGCGACGCAGCGCTAATGGTCGCCACTTGGCCGACATAAATTATGCTTAATCAGGAGGCAACACCGAGTGGCGGCGCGGCGCGGCGAAGAGGGGGCGTTCCGGAAATCCTTTAATCGAAACAACAAGCAGATACATGGCCAATCGTCAGATACAGATCCATGGATTCCGGGCGGCGGGAATCCAAATTGAAAAGGATGCGATGATGAATGCGACGCAGCCTTCCAACAGCTCAGGATAAAGCTCAGTCTATAGCGACTTAACTGGACCGGAAATATATGCCAGCAGGTCTCTCCGCTTCGATAATACTCAGTCAATAAGGATTAAGCTTGGGTAAATCTTTGCGACGATAAATTGTCCGAATATATATATAAAACGTTGGTGCTATTCATTTTTACTTTCAGGTACTTTACTTTTGGAGTTTAAATAGTATAAATAACGACAAAGGATGCCAGCTATGGCAAACTGAAGATGGTATACTTATTTAAACCAATATCGTTTTATTCAAATTTAATTACATAAGCCCTTAAAAATCCTCTTTTTTATTAAAAACCCAGGTTCGATTTTCTACCAAAAAAAACTGTATTTTGGCCGTAACAATGGAAATATTGATCCAAATA